AGCTGGACAATGAATAAGGAAGATCGAAGAATTAATGCCTTTGAATTACAGTATTGGCAAAGAATATTAAATACACCATGGACTGCCAGAAGAATGAACAAATCTGTCTCAGAAGTGCAGCCAGAATGCTCCTTAGAACGGAGGATGGCAAGACTTCATCTCGCATACTTTGGATATGTTTGTCAGGAGGAACCAGTCCCTGGAGGACATCATGCTTGGTAGAGGGTCAGAGAAAAAGAGGAAGACCCTCAATGAGATGGATTGACACAGTGGCTGCAACAATGGGCTCCAACAGCAACGATTGTGAGGATGACGCAGGACCAGGCAATGTTTCATTCCCTTGTACATACAGTCGCTGAGTCGGGACCAGCTCGACAGCATGTTAACAAGTAGCGTTATTGACTCATGGGAACCCTACGCACAACGGAATGAAACGCTGCCTGATTCTGCACCATCCTTACTATCAAGTGTGGATGAGACTGTTGTTGGGTTTTTACTGGCTGATTTTCAGAAGTAGATCGTAGACCTTTCTTGTAGTCTTTCTTAGCCTGCAAGCTCTGCTGAAACCTGTTCAGCATCATAGCAACACGCAAGTCTTCACCAACATACAAGTGATGCCTGTGCATGAAGAGCAGTGGCCAGGAATCAAACCCAGATCTCCTGCATGGAAGATGAGAATTCTACAGTTGAACCACCACTGCCCTCAGTAGTGATCTAGAGTGTGAATTAAAAGTTACTGTAGATGTGGTATCCATTAAAGTCTTCCTGTTTTTAGTTCCATTCTATCGAGTATTCTGGCTGCCAGCCAGCGTCACTCAACTCCATGCACACAGGCAGATCAACAAAACTTTAGAAGGATGTTTTATTACTAAGCTGGTTGAAGTTTGCTGTTCTTGCATTTTTATGTGTTCAGTTTGTAGTGACTTATTAACCCTGTAGTTCAAACCCAAAACGAATCCAGTTGCTGTTGAGTCAATTCTGATTCATGGCAACCCCATGAGTGCAGAGTAGAACAGTGCTCCATAGCATTTTCATGGCTGTGACCTTTTGGAAGCAGATCGCCAGGCCTTTCTTCTGAGGCACTTCTGGGTTGGTTTGAACCAACCTTTCAGTTAGTAGTCCAGCACTTAACCAATTGTGCCGCTCGGATTCCTCCTTGCAGTTCATAAAGATAGAATTTACATCAAAACCATTTTTAATAGTGACTTAAAGAATGCCTACTGATTCAAATATGAATCATTCACACCCATTGCATTTGCAGACATTCATAATACCAAAAAAACGTACTTACATAGTGACATTTCACGGATGATGTGCTGCCTGTGTTTGCGCTATTCTCTCGAGCCCATTTTAATTAGGTTTTTCTCTTGACCACTCAAACCAGTCACAAGTTCACCATTCTGTCTTCATCTTGAGCAGACTGTGACAGGTGACCTTGCTGACTGCTTCCTCCTCCCCTGGTTCTCCTATCTCGACTGTTCCTTTTTAATCTCCTTTGCTGGCTCCTCATCCCCCTCAACCGCCCCCATCTCTCTATGTTGGAGGGCTGTCTCATTCCCTAGGTGATCTCATCCTCTCGACTCTCCTTCTGACTCCAATACACAACTGCTTACCCAATGTCACTTGAATAATGTGCATTTCAAATTTAACCTGTCCAGAGCTGGAGAAAAATGTAGAACAAAATTCTAACTCACAAAAAGACCAGACTTACTGGCTTGACTGGAGAAACCCAGAGAGTATGGCCTCTGGACACCCTTTTAACTCAGTAATGAAGTCACTCCTGAGGTTTAACCTTCAGCCAAAGATTAGACAGGCCCATAAAACAAAACAAGACTAAAGAGGCACACCAGCCCAGGGACAAGGACTAGAAGGCAGAAGGGGACAGGAAAGCTGGTAATAGGGAACCCAAAGTCGAGAAGGGAGTGTTGACATGTCATGGGGTTGTTAAACAATGTCATAAAACAATACATGTACTGTTTAATGAGAAACGAGTTTGTTCTGTAAACCTTCATCTGAAGTATAATAAAAAATAAAAAATTTAACCGTCCAAAACCCAACTCTTAATTTCCTACCCTCTCTTTTCTCCATCTCAGTAAATGTTAACTGCATTCTTCCATACTCAGGCCAAAACCCTTGCCATCATCCTTAAACCCATTTTCTCACACTCCTCATCCAAGCCATCAGCAAATCCTGTAGTCTCTACCTTTATTTCTAGACACCTCTTTGACTATCACTCTAGACCAAGTCACTGTGATGTCTTGCCTAAAAATATTGCACTAAATTGTTCTTTGCTTTTGCCTTCCTAGCCCCGAACCTCCCTCCACCTTACTCTATTTTCAAACCAGCAGTCAGTGATCCTTTTAAAATTTTAGTCAGATCATGTCACTCAAGGCCCTCCCATAGCTTTCCTTGGTGATCTTGTCCCCCTCCCCCCCTTTACCCATACACTCACACTTTTCTACCTCAACTCTTTCCTTTTACTCATTTGGGTCCAACACACTGGCCACCTTGTTACTGGAACATGCCAAGCACTCCAGGGTCTGCATTTGCTGTTTTAGAATGTTTCGCCCTCAGATATCCACATCTTATTTCCTCACCTTCTTCAGGTTCCTATTCAAATAACTTTATTACAGAGAAATTCCTAAACAAAGGAGTCCCTGGATAGTACAAAAGGTTAACACGCTTGGTGGCTAACATAATGTCTGGAGGTTCAAGTCCACCCAGAGATGCCTCAGAAGGCCGAAAAACATCAACCATTGAAAACCCTAGAGGAGCCTTGGTGGTTAAGTGCTCAGCTGCTCACTGAAGGGTTAGTGGTTTGAACTCACCAGCTGCTCCACAGGATGTGGCAGTCAGCTTCTATACAGATTACAGCCTTGGAAGCCCTATGGAATCAACTCAACAGCAACAGGCTGGGAGACCCTGAGCCAGTCACCCTGAAAGCTAGACCTAGAATCTTCATTTACAGAAACTGAGATGTTAAAAACACAGAACACGTAACTGTCAATTCATGAATTGTGTCCTCAGAATGTATCAAATTGGCTAGTTCATGATTCCCAGTACTGTGATTACCCACCACTTTGTCATCTGTGATTTTCCTGTGTTGTAAATCCTACCTTTATGATGTTAACTGAGGTGCAATTGGAGGCAGTTATGTTAATGGGGCAGGACTCAATCTACAAGACTAGGTTGTGTCTTCAATCTCTTTTGAGATACAGAAGCAGAGCCAAGGGCGGCCTCCTACACCAAGAAAGCAGAGCCAGGAGTCTGTCTTCTGGACTCAGGGTTCCTGTGCTGAGACGCTCCTAGACCAGGGGAAGACTGATGACAAGGACCTTCCTCTAGAGCCAACAGACAAAGCCTTCCTCTGCAGCTGGCACCCTGAATTTGGACTTCTAGCCTACTAGACCATGAGAAAATAAGTTTGTTGAAGCCATCCACTTGTGGTATTTGTTACAGCACCACTAGATAACAACCCCCGCCACAGAGCAGTTGTACTGACACACATGGGGTCGCCTTGAGTTGGAATCCCTTAGATGGCAACGTATTTTGGTTCCCAGACACTATGAAACCCTTCCCTGTTCTTCCACTTTGTTCTCCACGTGCAGAATGAGGCCCACTGCTCAAGGGTCACTAGAACAAGCCTGTATCAAACTTATTAATGGGACAAACTGGAAAATACCTTCTGAGATGTAACAGGAAGTAAACATCTTGTTCAAAGGGTCTTAACCTGAATCTCTGTGGACATAATTAAGATTAAAAAAATCCACAAGGGATTTAAGCTATTTTGAGACAACTGGCCTGGACTCTTGAAAATACAGCTACGAAGAACACTTCGGGGACAACTGGAGAGTTTAAATATGAACTTGATTCAACTTTCCTGTAGACTTCAAAATTTTAAGTCAAGGCAAAGGAAGGTTCTTCTCCCCTAGTTTTTGCTATTCCTACTTGCTCTTCTTCCAAATTTTCCATGGCTGGCTTGCTAATCAGGTTTTAGCTTGGATATCATTTCTATGCCCATCCCCAGACTATTCTCGTTTTCAGAGCACTGGTAGCAGTTACTGCAAATTCAAGACTTAGGCTTGCTTCCACCTGTCACCAGAGGGCACTATAAACCTAAGTACGTGCTTAAAGTTTTAGACCAGTGTAAATTCAGAGCCCTGGTTGCACAGTGGTTAACCTCAGCAGTTCGAATGCACCAGCCCCTCCTTGAAAACCCTATGGCAATGGGTTTGATCTTTTTGAGTGTAAATTCAGATCACTATCCAGAAGTTGCTTTTTGTTGAATACACGTGAAACTTTCTCCATCCTGTGACAAGGCCCCAGTTAGAAGGCCTAAAGTTTCTACATCCCAGCTTTAAGGTTTTCAACATTTTATATTAGGCATTTTTATTACTGTTGTCTTTACAACCCATGAACTAAGGCAAATGCTCAATAGTGGCTAAACTGAGATTTGACTCATGTTGACCTTGGCCCTGAGCGCCCTTCCCCCCTGGCTGGGAAAGTGTGCCTTTAGTCACACTGGAGGAAAACAAGATGCCCTTCTGGTAGACTGGTGGTAGTTACACACTAAGCCCATAGCATGCTGTTCCAAAAGGTCTCAGATCTACAATATTCTGTCAATTATCAGACTACAGTTGTCTAGAAGGCTACATTTTCTTAATAAAACCCATTACCACTGATTCTATCATGATCTGCTTGATCAAGCTTCCAGGCTGAATACATAAGGACTTTGAAATCTAAGGGCAAATTCCAGAATGACAATTCACTGAATTCATCCCAATGGCATATAGAACCAAATGGAAGATTTACTGGTTTGTCTTTAATCCGAATATTTTAACTTTTAAACTTTTAAAGAGTAACCAGGAGGTAAGGGTGTTGGAAACGTTCCAACACTTCTCATGTAAACTCAAAATTTTAAGATTCCTTTTGTGGACTAAACAGTTTAACTGTTTACAAAGTTATTTCTGATTCCTCTATCCTTCCCCCTCTTCCATAATTCCTGTTTTCCCCTATTCAATCTTGGCTGCCACAAGCAGACAGACAGAAAGCGCAAGGAACTTTTTTCTTGCATCGTAGTGGAAACCTTAGAAGCAGACAGTAACTGCTCCAGGTCTGTCAAATAGATGCATTTTCATATTCTCATTCTGATACCCAGTCTTTTCTTTTGCCCACCAGCTATCCCAAATGTTATCTATAATCTCATCTTCTAAAGCAGAGATTGGCAAACCTTTTCTGTAAAAGGCCATAATAATTGCTGTAGGCTTGGCAGGCCCTAGAGCCTTCTGTCCTTCCCAACCACTGTTGTAGTGTGAAAACAGCCATAGGTAATCCGTAAGCAAATGAGCATGGCTGTGTTCCAATGAAACTGGATACTGAAATTTTGATGTGTCAAGGCATTCTTTTTTTCAACCACTTAAAAACGTAAAAACCATCTTAGCTCATGAGTCATTTAAAAAAAAAAAAAAAAATGGGGCAGGTCAGGCCAGTTTGCCCATCCCTGTTCTAGTTACCATCCCAACTCCAGAGAGTTTGACACATTCATTCCAGGAGACTTCTAAATTTCTCTGGAACTTGGTTCTACTCCATTTATGACAAAAAAGCTCAGACAATACTTAGCTTCCAACTGTATTAGTCTCTCTTTATTCTCTTGGTAATCTCTTCCATTTGTAGGTGATGAATGTGTAAGGATCCACTTCCAATGTTGGCACTGCTATGAGCATGGTCTCTCCCTTTACTTCAACTCAGGATTAAGAGTTTTGATTCTTGTTTTTATATTCCAGTCCCAGGAGTAGTTTAACTGTAGAAGTTATCTGAAGACAATCTCATGCTTTATAGTAGTGATCTACAACCAGGCTCTAACTTCTCCACAACACTACAGAGATGAATTAAGTTTAAATACATTAAACTCAGAAGCATTCTCTCAAGTGAGTTTAAATGCATTTTATTTTTAGACAACCTACAAGACATGTTTTTTTTTTTTTCCTTTAAGGAAAAAAAAAAATGCCTCCGCTCCAAGTAAATCAAGGTCAAAATAAATGAAGAGCTCAAGATGACATCAGTCCCTTTTGTCTAAGTCCTGGTGTTGTGTGGATGAAGAGCAGCAGCCAGTTAGGATGACAGATGATAGATCCAAATAATTACCAAATCTGTTACTGTAAAAACAAGGAAGACTATATTAATACTTTTCCAATGTGAAAATAACTCAACTTTTCTAGGCAGCAGATGTATTCCCTCATTCAATCTGGGCTGCCACAAAGACAGACAGAAAGCGCAGGGATTTTTTCTTTTGCATCCTAGTGCAAACCGAAAGAACAACAGCAAATTGTTCAAGGTCTATCAGAGGATGCAGAACATCCTTACCAAGTCAGAAGAAGCACCTTTCTCAGAAGTCTCCTTCTGAGCAAGTTCACTTACACACACTCTGCTCTACCAACAAAAACCTCAGATACTGCCTGAAGAATCCCTTTGGAGAGTCATTTTATACTGCCACATAAGACATTTTTGTCCACTGTTGCCTCTATAATCTTATTCAGTGTATCCTTACGAGTTTATATCTTGCCCCTAATTTATACGGAAGCCTCTGTAAATGACAATAAGGAATGCTTTCATTTCTATACCACCTACATCAGATATTCAGTGAGTGATTTCATTTTAACAAAGCAATTTCTGTACTAGTTCACTTGTCAGCTCTAATTGTATTTACCTGAATAAATGCTTAATGTTGCCAATGATCAGTAAACCAAAGTAAAAGGTTTGAAACTGATGCATATGTGTGGCAAAATTACGAAAAGGAAAGCAGTTTGATTTCAACAGGCCATTTCTATTGGGAAGATCAACACAGGGGCTTATAGTGGATCTCCAGTTCGCTATTCAAACTGCTTTGCAATGCCATCTACAGTCAAGGTTTTCTACGGACTCTAAGCCTTTCTATACTATAAGACTCTTAAGCATGTGAAACAACTCTTCTTTGACAACCCCCCTCCTCAAGTTAAGAGAAACAAAAAACTAGATCCATGTGTTAAAAGGGACTGCTGTAGAATCCATTCTAACTCTCCCCAACGGCATGAAATGATCAGTCACACCTAAAAGATCTCTATTTTTACATTACTAATTTTGACCAATTTCCTCATACTTACACATTTCTCCATTTCTAAACCATCCTTAAAGAAAATCATATATGGGGTCACACCATCCTCACGGTAGTCCAGCAGAGCAACCATGCCATCTGGATTCATGTTTTCACCAATAAAGAACTTGGGAAGCGAACAAATACCCAGAATTAGACCGTTAAGTATGTATCTCAGCAAAACAAACCCTGTAAACTACAACAAATCAAAGGACGATTCAGAACCCCCACAACAGTTTAATCAAGAAAACATCAGCAACTAACAGCTCTGATGCCTTGGAGAGAAATGCTCACTAAGCAAGATCTGTTCACCTGATTAAAGCATTAACTATAATCACAATAAGACTAAAGAGCAATCCAGGACACTTTAGAATTTCTGGTTTTTACTCCCAACCTCACATATGTAATTCCAAACGATACAAGTCTGTTTACACAGTCAAGTACAGGGAACATATATACACAAAGGAATATACGGCTGACAATGATATACCGTACCATATGTGAAAATTATCTTATGGCCAGGCGCTGACTGAAGACTAGAAAATGAAAAAGAACCAGAGTGTTTTAAGTCTTAAAGGTACCGGGAAGCCACTGAAGGGTTCTAAACAGGGCTTATTAACTCAAATGTGTCAGAACGCTCCAGAGACGGTGACATAAAAATTAGCAACTTATGAGCAGAAGAGTGGATAAATGTCATCTGGGAAGCAAGGGATGAGATTCTGGGCATCAGAAAAGACTGGACCTGGAAATACTTGGGAGCAGAGAAGAAGGGCTACTTTCCATAGCCCGGGCAACCTGTGAGCCTGTGAAGCTACCTATGCATCTTAAAAAAACAAAACAAAAAAAAAAAAAAAACCAACAACTCAAAATCCTATGGGAAAAATGACAATTTAATCATGCCAAAAAGATTCATGAACTAATTCATCTCTCAGTTAAAACTATACACACCTTTAATACAAATGTTATTTACCTGGTAGTTTTTGAAATTAGCAAGGATGTGCTTGATTTGTTCTGCAGCCCCTGTCATAAAAGGTTTTACTCTTTCGGGTCTCTGTTCTTCAAGTTTGCCTTTGATTCTAAAATAATATTTCATTAACAGGTTAAAAGTGTTGAATCCTGGACAAAGTCACATTTTTTTCATTGAAAATGCAAACTACAACCAAAAATTAAAATAAAAAACCTAACAGCAGAATGCATGCGCCAGTACGCTCACATTTAGTTTACATAAAACCAACCACCCTTGTCTGTGAGCACAAGAACCTCACAAGTTAGCCAAATCCTAAATCCTCAATTACAAGAACCCAAAGACATCAGCTGGGCATTGCCAACATCACTTACGATTTCATGTAATCTTTGATGTACTTCTTGTAGGCTTCTTTTGTGAAGCTGGTTTCCTGCAAGTGATGGTTGATGACAATATCAACACCAGTGATTACTGTGCTTTCGGTTCCTTCACCATCAGGGCCTTCAGCTGAGGCATTGCCACCAATGAGCGAGTCATCAATGTTACCCTCTGTCCTACTGACCATCTGCGTTAAGGAAAAGCAGGAGTTTAGTTGCAAACGAAGTATCTGACTTTAGTATAAATGCATCCAAAAATCCTCCTATACCCACAGTTCATGCAAGTATCACCCTCCCACCCAACATTCTTGGTTCTTCTTAAAAACTACATTATTTGGGGGAAAAAATTTACTTTTTTAAACATTTTAACTCACTAAAACTAATTCTTTGTCTCCGACAACTAGAAGTTGTTTCCAGTTGGGGACTCTCTGGTCGCTAAGGGGAGATGAACAAGCACGGATAGAGCAAACGTGACGGGCTTCGCGCTCCCAAACTGGAGACATCATGTCCTCGACAGCGGGGAGGATGGGCGCCGAGGCCGCAGACCTGTTTCCAGGCACAGCTCCGCCTCCACTTTTCTAGAAAAACCTAAGCCCGGAAAGAGCGTCTCCTCCGCCAGGAGGCGGCGGAGAGGATTGCACAACCTCGGGTAGAGGAGCAGCGGAAACCGGAGCCTGCCCGGCCCTGCCTCCCCCGCGCGACCGCCCAGGCGACTCACCTTCCCCTCCACCTCCAGGCACAGCCCGTCCGCGATCTCCCGGATCTTGTAAATGTCGGAGAACATCTCATCATCTGCTCGGGGACACAGACCCGCCCATCACAGGGCGCCCGGCCTCGGAGACCCGGAGCCGCCATTTCCCCCGCCTGCCGCACGCGGCCCCTGCCCCTCCCCAGGCGCCCCAGACCCCAGCGCGTGCCCCAAGCACCGACTCCTGCTCGCCGCCAGCGTCCCTGGGCCCAAGACGGCAGCGGCAGCGGCAGCGGCCCTACTCTTCCTCGCCCCCGACCCCCTGAGCGCGGCAGGAAGGGCAGCGCAGCAAGGACTCACGGCTGATGAGGTCCCGATAGATAATCATGATGGCGGCTGAGGGGAGACGACGGCGGTGCTAGCTTAGCGGGAGCCCGGAGCCCTGAACGAGCGCGGAGCAGCTGGAGCAGCGCTCAGGGGGAGGGGGGAGCGGGCGGAAAAGGCCGACTGAGCCGCTCCCCAACCTCATATAGAGGGCACGTCCCCCTACGTCATCGCCCACTGCACCTCCGGAAGCGCCGCAAGCGGTGACGTGAACGCACGGCCGCATGCAAGGCGGGGCCTCGACGCGGGCGCGCCGCAGGGGAGGGGAGGGAACATCCGGGCACATGGCAAGGGGACACAATGCCTAGTTCCGTGGGGCTCGCGGGGAGCGGGAGGGAAAAGAAGAGGGGTTGACCGTGGCCTTCGAGAGCTGTACGCTGAGGGGAGGGGGCGGAGAGGGGCCTGCCGCGTCCGCCATGTCCCTCCCTTCCCCGCGGGAGAGGTGCTGGGCTTGGGTGGGGCTTAGATGAAATCGTCTCAAGCTACCGGCCCCCTCCTCGCCCTAATCAGTCTCCACCCCTTTTTGTGGGCAAAAGTGTCTGCAGGTAGCAGGGGACTTTGGTGTTACGGAAGGTCGGGCACTCTGTCGT